TATATACCCATATGTATATGTACATCCATCCATGGGTAAACATTCGTTCCCAACCAACTCCTATCCAAGTAGTCTATGTGACCTATTGGATTGGTCCATTACTACTATTTATATCCAACTCCTTTAAAATAAAATACAACATAAAACAATTAAATGATTTAATCCAAATAAATAACTACAATTAAACCACACATTAATTTAGCAAGTAAAACACCCAAATAATTAACTACACAAGCACCTAATTAATTCAAATAAATCACATAAGCAATTAAGACAATAAGCATATAATCATGTAGTCACATAAACACATAGCCACGTAAGCACATAATCACATAATTAAATAAAATAAATAATTAAATTCCCTTTTTATCCTTTTAAAAACTAGGGGTATTACAGGTTATACCTTTAGTGCGTGTCCAGTGGAGTCACCATAATGAGGCTGAGTCTACTTGGGAATAAAAGGATGTCATTCGCTCACAATTTCCTGAAATAATGGAAAAGGTAAGAGCGAATTCAGAGGACGGAATCCCTTTTGTTAGGGGGGAAGAATGTAATATCCCTAATTTTAAAAGGATAGTCTTGGTATTGAATTAATTGTTTTATTTACATTTTTTTTTTTAATTATTTGATTTCTTGGTTATTTTGCTTAATTGCTTATTTGACTTAATTGTTTATGTTACTATTTGGTGTAATTGGTTAATTAAATAATGTGATTAAATGATGTGTGCAATATGTTTTATGTGCTAAGTGTTTAGGTGTAATTAATTGTTTAAATTAAATGTTTATTTTATTTTAAGGAGTTCGGCTTGGATAGTATGAATTACTTGGATAGGAGATTAAACTGTACAGTTATTACCCATTGATGATTATACACATATATGTGGGTATATATGTATATAAGGTTATGTTAATTATTAATTTTAATTATAGTTACATTAATTGTAATATTCAGTATATGCTATATATTATATAATTATAATGGTTTATATATATATATGACATCACGTTTGGATTAGGGTGCCGAGATATATAATATGTATTTATTTTATTTTTCTTTTCTTTTTCCTTAGGTAATTAGAATTAGGTTAAATTAAAATTGCCTATAAATATATCATTATATGTCTGCCTAGGGTTTAAAAACCCTATTCACGTACAGAGAGGGTTGAGTGATAACTGAGAGAAAAGTTAGGGTTTTGGCCAGAGATTGAAGATCGGACCAAAGATAAAGGAAGAAGGGTTGCTTGTGGGTTGAACTAGAAGTAGCAGAGGAGTTTAACGGCAGTTAAGGAGTTGTCAAAATAATTAGAGAAGACGGTTTAAGGTTTCAAACTGAAACCTAAGGCAAGTTCTTTCTCTTACTCCTTCCCTCAGACTTGTGTTCTGTGCATGCCTAGATAATCTCTAGGATTTAATCGGACATTAAAATTGGTTTTATATAAATGTTAATTCAGAGTTTACACTTTATTTTGTGTTTTTAATTGAAATTGATTTATCGTATTAATTGTTTCATCATAAGTGTTTAAACTGTTGTTAATGATTCCTATTAGGTTTATATGAATTTCTAGGTTAGTTTAAGACATAGATTGGATCCCTAGAAACTTTAACAAAACATTACAGAGGGTTTTGCCCATCGCCGGAGGTGAAGAAAATGATGGGGATCAGTATACGGCTCTCTAGGGGAGAGAGAGCCGACATTCCAAAGGAGGGAGTCGGCTCTAGGAGAGAGATAGCTGGCTCTCCATGTGGGAGAGCCGGCTCCCTCCTTAGGGGAGGCGGCTCCCCTGTTGGCAGTACACCTACGAGTGCATTTTTGATGGTTTTTGGGTTTCAAGGGCTGGAAGGTTAAATTGGACTTTCATGGGGATTTTAAATGATTTAAATGAGCATGTTAAAAATTTCAAAAAGATTAATATATGTTATTATGCTAAAATATTGGACATCATGAAATTTAAATACTGATTTGCATTCTGTCAATGATTATGAAGGATTTAATTGTTTGTTGTTGTTTTAGCAAATTAAATGGATTAAAATGAATTTTTTTTTGAATATTTCAACATAATGTGCTTAGTTATTTATCTGATTTTCATTATATCATGCTCTAAATTTTAATTGATGAACTACTTTATTTTTGTTCTATCAATTATTGGATTTTATGGATTATATGCACTAGTATGGGACGATGGCATATTAGGGATGGATTAATTCAAAACACTAAGTTCTACCCATTCTAGTATAAGGGTATGAATTAATTATAAAAGTTAAGTCCTACTTATATTTGTGTCAGGTCAATGAACAGTTGAATGACATACTTTATTTTTGGATGGATTTATATATATATGATTATGGTGCCATGATATGAGCTTGAGTCTCAGGATCATGGTTAGGGTGCGTATATTGCCTAGGATGGATAACTGGATATAACAAACATTTGGGTGTCTTGGTAGGTTTAGGTACACATGCCCACTTTATGTGCGATTTACATGTTACCTTCTATTCAGGTTGAGATAGACCTATAGTCCAGTGAATGTCCTATAGTGCGTATTTATATATATATGGACTATTAGCTATTGTTGAGTTATCTAGGATGTATCTGTGTATCAGGTGTCTGTTTGGATCATAGTAGAGTAAAACTTGTTCGTGGGCCTAACCTACTATTATTTTTCAGGTGGTTGACAGTTCCAGGCTTGAAGCTTGTTCGTGCTGAGTAGAGACAGTCACTCACTCTTCCGATTACGTAGGATTTTATTTCATGTTTTAGTTTTGGATTTTCTTTCAGTTCAGTTTTATTTTTCAGTTAGGATATATATTAGTAGGGGTCCGCTAGATGGATTCCTGAGTTGTGCTAATATTGGAGATTTTGGAAATATTGGTTTATTTTATTAATATTTTGAGGATTTATTATTTAGATTTCTTTTAGTTTAATAATTATTTATTCTTTAATTCTTTGTGTATTCAAATGCTTGTTTATATACTTAATTATTTGGTATCCTTTGGATCTGTGCTTAGACTTGATCACCTGTGGCTCTAGAATCGAGGGGTATCACAGCCAGTATTTCATCGATCTCAGCCTTGGCATTCCTTCCCAGTGCCTTCTCCTTGTGGCCGACACCTGCAACGACTTCATCTAGGTCACCTGCTCCGCTTGTCGTAACCATTACGACGACCACCCATTGGGATCAGCTTTCCTCGCCCGCTATTCCACCATATTCTCTCCCCACCACTGTTTCAACATACTCGTCGTGTCGACTCGTCCCCTTCCCCAAGCTTACGTGATGCAACCACACATGCCTCCCTAACCCTTGTCGCTATGAATACGCCAACGCCGATGGCTCCACAACCACCGGTTTTGTTTTCTGAAGCGATTATCATAGGATTTGAAGCTGATGCCATCTATTGTTTCTTTTCCGGCAAACTTTTTTCTTAAAAATTCTTCCATTGTCTGAACAATCTATAATTGAAAAATTGGAACAAGTGCAGAAAACATCTCTAAAGTATACTCCGCATAGCACTTTTACCCCATATTTGAATTAAAAGTATGCAAAAAAACACCCCTAATCTTTTTGCATGATGCAAAAATACTCCCCAATCAGAAATTTGATATAAATTAGTATTGTAATACCCGTTTTGCCCTTTTACTCTTCCGAAAATGCGAAAGGTGGTATATATACTACTAATCTCATAGTATGGGAGTGTTATGTGCATATTACCTTATATAATTTTTTTTGAAACTTTTTTCTCTATGTATATCTTTAAACTTTGAGAATTTGTAGAATAAGGAATTAAATTTTTTGAGATTTCAGTTTACTGTTTTCTACTAATTTTTTTTCTTATTTATTTATTTATTTCGTACCAACATTGTTAAACCAAAAACAAAAGGGAAAAAAACGCCAATATCAATTTGCACTGATTTTTGGAGTTTGAAGCAAATTTGTTTTCTTTAGTTTGCACTTTATTTTTATTTATTATTTTTATTTTTGACTTTTTTTTTCTTTCTATTTTTATCTTTACTTGTCTATTGCTGGCGTCCTCCAATAGTGTCATTTTCGATCAGTTTACAAAATTATTTATTTTTATATATTTTATAAAATGGTTCAGTAAGGGTAATTTAGACAACTTAGGGTTTACATTTGTCAGAGGGATCTATTTGCACAAAATTGAAGCTTTAGGGGTGTTTTTTGCACGTGAGGGGTGTCCTTTAATATGTCATTTTCGGTCATTTTACAAATTTATTTATTTTTATATTTTTATAAAATAGTTCAGTAAGGGTAATTTAGTCAACTTAGGGTTTAAATTTGTCAGAGGGACCTATTGCACCAAATTAAAACTTTAGGGGTATTTTTTGCACGTGAGGGGTGTGAAATGAATTGTAAACATACTTTAGGGATGTTTTTTGCACTTGACCCTTGAAAAATTACACAAGCATGTGAGCGATATATATATATATATATATATATATCGATGCGACCTTGTGAAGAAGATCAACAATAATAAAGTAATAAGGGTGTGTTTGGGGTGTTTAAAAGGTGTTTCGGTTTAATAGTTAAAATAAAGAGTATTAGTGTCTTTTCATGGTTACGAGGGCATTATGGTAATTAAAATTATAGTGTATGTCATGTGGCCTTCACGTGGTCACTTGAACAGTAAGATCCTATCAGAACAATGACGGATGTGGCTATCTGCAACACAAATGCATAGTTCAAGCGGTTATTTGTAACTTTAGTAATATATGAGTTTAGTTGTTGATTCCCCGGTAGTTTAAGGGTTTTTTGTATTTTATCCTAAAATTTGCTAAACAAAAATGAATAAAAAAACACACACACGTATAGGGCTAGTCTTTTCTTACTCTTAGAATTTGTGAAAAATTATTACTACATGATTTCTGGATTATTATTATTATTATTTTTTCCAAATTTCGGGATTATTGATCCAGCTAAAAATCAATTTATATCTAAATAAAATAGTTAAAATAAAGTTGTTCATTAGTGAATCGGTAACGGGTCCGGACCAATGATCCCAAATTGTACACGCGCAAACCTTTTTATCCAGAGAGAATAGAAAAGAACCACCTATTCATTAGGTTGTTTACAAATCCCCCTTTTTCTCATATTTACAAGCCTTTGCTTTTCTTTTTCTTTTTGAATTTTTTTTTTCTTCTTTTTCCCCTGACAGAGACAAGAGAGTTTGTGTTGTGTGTGTCCACTAGCCATACCAACACATCTTTCTAAGTTTTAACCAAAATTCCCAAAACCAAAGTCACTTGAATAGAAAGCCCCTTTTACTCTCTCAATCAGTACTCCCATTCTCAATATTTCAAAGAAAATGCAGTCCATCTTAAACCACCAAACCAGCTTCGGCCTTCCTCTCTGCCTCTCAGGGATCACACATCCTCTCACTCTTTCTCAAGAGTATCTATCTCTCTCTCTCTCTCACTCTCTCTCTCTCTCTCTCTCTATATATATATATATATATAACTTGATCCTCTCTCTCTCTCTTTAACAAGTTCAGTGATGATGCAGGATGGCAGATCATGAACGCAGAAGGGAGGCCATGAAAAGGCAAAAATCACAAGCCAGAGAGGGTCTGCAGGCAAATCAAGGGGTGGGTGTTGAGAGAAATCATGAGGGAGAAATTGAAGTTGATGGAGATCTGGCATGTATTGTTCATGATCTGTCATACATGTGTTTGGCTTCTACAGCAAAAGCTGCATAGCCTTTACATACTTAATTGCTTTTATGGACTTCCTTTAATTATCTCTCTATTGTACATCAATTTATGTTGGATTTCTCACTATTGGATATCTATTGTAGATTTCTTTAAATTATTCATGATCTTGACTAGGGGTGTTCTTGTTTGTTTTTCTCTTTTGTATATATATATTGGTTGTATATATATAGATATATTCACTGTCCAGTACTAAGTTACCATGTACACTAGTGAGGTTAATGACAAAAAAACACACACATGACTATTTGAGGAAAGAGGTGATGAACTCATGGTTTGAATAATAATAATAATAATAATAATAATAATAAACTCAACTTTTTGAAACAACATCATTTTTCTTCTTTTCTTCCTTCCAAGTTTGAATTTATTTTACAATGTGGAGAGAAGGGTTAATAATTCCATTTTATGCACCACTAAATATTGGGAAAAACTCTTGGGATTAGTTTTCTTGGATTAGTAATAATGCTACTTAAAACAAAAGGTTAAAAAATTTATATTTTTTTATGTTTTGTTATCACTTTTAATGTTGATTTTCTAGATCATAGAAATTGTGAATTGGGATCGTTAAATTATGTTCCTTCTAAGTGTTCTTGGTTCTTAAGTTTGTTAATTGTGGAACCTTTTAAAAATTGAAACAAACTGTTTGCATTTTCAGTTTTAATAGACAATATTCAATGGAATATTTTAGGAGTTGGAACAGAATGGGTAACTACTAACTTTATATAGCATTTTCTCACAATTATTGAGTTTGTGGTGTCAAAATGTAGTATATTCAATTAGATGATAAGATTGCTTTAGTTTTTTTTTTTTTTTTTGGGAAACCGTGTACATTATAAAAATCCGAACTTTGAAATTGAAGAACGCGTCAGCTAAAATTTTTAAATAACCTTATTATTATTTTTTACTATTCCAATTCAAAAACAAATTTTTTTTTTTTTATTAACCCTGGATGTTTGGATGGTACGGCCCCTTAAGGCCTACAAAGTTCGTCGGTCAAACCAACGATGCCTCCCAACCTGAGGGTAAGTCACTGTAGGGGTAGCGGAGACTAATCACAAAGAACATCCAACAGGATTCAAACCCCAGATCTTGAACTTGCTAAACTTCAAAGTCCAGTAAATAAATTCCTAGGCCATATTCGAAGCGGACAAAGCACAGAATTTCATACCACATAGTGGGTGATTTTTTTTTAGATTTATCTAAAGTTTATAGAACTTCAATCTAGTTTCTCATTCCCTGAGTTCTCATGACCGTAAATTGATAAAGTGAGTTGAAAAAGAAAAAGAAAAAGAAAAAGAATAAAGAATAAAGAATCGCACTTTATTTGTAGATAAGAAAATGTGGGGAGAGAAACCTATTTTGATGTAGAACAGTTTTATTGATTTTATTTTATTGATTTTATTTTTGGGAAGAGTTTAATTTTGAATAATTTCTTTATATTTTTTATTTCCTTAAGCAATTAGTTTCTTTTTGTTATTAGTTTCCTTTATAGTTTTAGGGTTTTATTTATTACAAATACGATGTATTGTGAGAGCAGAAGAAATTCATTCAATTTTAACAATAATATTTTAATTACTTTACAATTTTTATTCAACTTTGTGGATTCAAAATTATCACCTTCCATATGAACACTTATACTTTTCAGACACTCAACGTAATATTTGTACACTTACACTTTTCACATACACATACATATATAGTGATGATGTGTTATAGAACAAGACACTAGTTAATTTGGAAAATAAGTTTAGGATGACTTGTATTTTTTTATTTTTAATTTCATTAATGGAAAAAAAAATCTTAATTTTTCTTATTTGTGAAAATCTTCCTATTCTTATAAATAATTTAAAATATGTTTTTTTATTTTGCTAAATTAAAAAAAGTACAAATTTATATACATGGCGTTAAAAAAAGTTGTTTTATTAGACTTCATTTCTTCTAAATATAAATAATTTTTTAAAAATTATGATTTGAATTTTATCAAATTTGTGTGAGTCGCCTTATACGAGTCCAGTGAGTTAGTCAACGCCAACCATGGAGTGTTTGTGTGGCTCCACCAGCCACGCCACAACCACTGGCTTGGTAGAAGCATGAGTCTCCATCATGCTATTATTACATGCAATTGGGCTGCTCAACTTCTTCAATGTTTCTGGTGAGAATTTATTACAATTGATGTTAACTTTAACCAAAAAACAAAAGTCGTAGTATTGTCTGCATATATACAATGTAACGTGAAAATTATTTCCACTTATAGAGTCTCAATGGGTTATTCGACTATAAATATAGGTATAATGAGGTATATAGAGCATTTATGAGTTTTTTTATTCTCACGTACAAATTTTGAGAGAATGACCAGACCATTTGAAGAATGGTACAGTCAAAATTTCATATTAAGATTTGTTTTGACGGGAAATCTTTTTTAAAAAATATATATTTTTAAATAAAATATTTTTTTAAATTTATTTTTTGATATTTGGTATAAGTTTAGATCGAGATTAAGGACGCGTTTATTGGGCGGGGCAAGTAAAATAACTTGTTGAATATTGATACGTAAGTTATTTTTATTAATTTTTAATATTTTTTTTTTTTGTAAATACTTTACGTCAACTGGACACAAGAAAATAAAAAAAAATATTTTTTAAATAATATTTTACATCTAAACAAACAGAACCTAAAAGTCATTTAGAGTTGATCACACACTTTTTACATTCTCTTCGTTCAAACTGAACTGAACTAAACTAAATAACTTATATAATTTTATTTTAGAGTTAAATTCACAAAATTCCATGTATTTTCATTCTTTTCACATTTTATTCTCTAAGCTATCAAACCATTCTCGTACATTATATACCTTGTCCTACCAAAAAGTTTCATGTTAGGACAAAATCGTAACCGAACCAAACTGACAAATAAAATTATACATATTAACCCCAAGTAACAAAGTTAATGATACATTATATTGTAATTGTCGAGGTGCCTCTGTCTTTGTTGAACAGAGTCGTAAATTTTCATCGTATTATGTAATAAAATAAAATACTATATATAATATATATTATACACAAGTATTATTATTTTTTCATATTATATAGTCTATGTTATGTATTTATTGTATAATATATAATGAATATTTTTATAATATTTAACTAAAATATCAAATATCATATTATGGGTTTTATATAGGTATATTATTTTTTAAAAAAATTATTTATTATATAAAATAATGTATTTAGATAGTTTTAGTTATTTTCATTATATAGTGTATTTATTATTATTATTTTTTTAAACTTGAGAAGAAATACACTTACACATCCACTTTTGTCTTTTGAAGGCTTAAATTCTTAATCTTTTTACTTTAGAAAGTGAGTAAGTACCACTAGACTACAAAGTATTTGGTTCATATAATGTAGTATTAAATCTTATTTATGAATTTAACTCTTTATTATTTGTGTTAAAAGGTACTTTAGTCATTTTTTATAACAAGCTATTAAAAATCATTATAAAATTTTACTGTTAACTTTAACTGGAGACTAACAATGCTAAGATGACTTTAACAGTATAAGGATGAATTTAATTAATAGTATAAGAAGTAAGTGTAAAGAAATAAAAGTATAGGAGGATTTTGTGAATTTACCCTTTATTTTAAGTAATTTCTTGTTCTCCAAATGTGTCAATTTATAGAAAATCTCATGAAAATTGTATCATGACAAACTTGGTCACTAAAGTGCTCATTTAAAAAGTATTCTTATATAATTTAAATTAACTTTCATTTCGTATGTTAGTAGATTTTAAAACACTGGATATATACACACACACACACAAAAATGGATGACTGATCGATGTAGGGTGATTGATTATAGATTTATATTGCGTTTGGTATGCAAGAATGATAATAGAATGATCATTCTCATTCTATTGTTTGGTTACAAATATGAAATACGTAAGAATGGAATGATAATAACCATTCTAGTGATTAGTTAGACCAATTTAAAAATTAGAATAGAATGAATTTCAAATTGAATTTTCTAAAATACATCTCTTAATGATAAATAAATTAAATTAGCAAATAACATTCTTCTATAATTTTTTTAAAAGAAATGATTGCGGTGGTAGATGGCGGTGACGATAGTGGTGGAGGTGGAAAGCGGTAGTGGTGCAGGCGGTGGTGTTGGAAGGCGGCGACGGTAGCGGAAGACGACAATGGTGTTGGTGGAAGAAATTGGCGGTGGCGATGGCGGTAATAATGGAAGATGTTAGTGGTGTAGGTGATGATGGTGGACGACAGTAGCGGTGGTAGTGGTGGTGGAATGCGGCAATGGTATAAGTGATGGTGGTGAAATGTGGCAATGGTATAAGTGATGGTGGTGAAATGTGGCAATGGAGGTAGCAGTGGAAGACGGTGGCGGTGGTAGAAGTTGGTGGCAATGGCGGTGAAGGTGGTAGTGGTAGTGGTAGTATTGGTGGAAGTTTGTGGTAGAGGCGGTGGTGATAGTGGTGGTGGCGGAGACAGTGGTGGCGATGTGGTGGTTGTAGCGACAGTGGTGTAGGTAGTGGTGGTGGCAGTGGTTTAGTGGTGGCGGAGATAGTGGTGATAACGACAGTGGTGGCAATGGTATAGGTAGTGGTGGTGAAAAATAGCGATGGTGGAATGCGATGGCGGTGATGGCAGTGGCAATGGTGATGGTGGTGATAATGGTGACGGTGGTGGTGGCAATAATGGTGGTGGAAGGTAATAGAGGTGGTGGTGGTCGAAAGTGGTAGTGGCCTGTGGAAGGCAGTGGCAATGGTGGAAGGCAATGGAGGCGACAGTGGTGTGGTGGTTGAAGGCGGTAACAATGGTGGCAATGGTAGTGGAAAACAATGCAGTTAGGAGTGGTAAAAGGCGGCGGTGGTTGTGGTGGTGAAAGGCAGTGGTACTGGTAAAAGGTGGCGGTGGTGGTTTTTGGATTCGGAACATAAGGTTTTTTGGAAACTTGATTTTTTTGGTTGTGGTGGTGAAAACAGTGATACTGGTAAAAGGTGGTGGTGGTGGTTTTTGGATTCGGAATATAAGGTTTTTTGGAAACTTGATTTTTTTAAAAAAACATAAAAAAATTACTTGTGAATGTAATGATCATTCCAGAGATTTAG